GTTACTTCCATATGCCACCTGGCATGCTTCTGAAAATCATTTCGTTTGTGCTCTACAAGCATGTGTGCATTACTTTTCAGCCTACCCTCGTAGTAAAGATGAATTAACAGTATTAAAATTAAATGGGAAAAGGAGAGATTTGATGATGATTTTATCTATCCAGTATGCAAACTTTGGAAAATAAGTAATTGTGGATTAATCAGATAATTTTAAAAACAGGTTACGTTTTAAAAATTTATGAAAGAATAATTTATATATTAGAAAATTCATTTAATTCAAAGTTCTAACTTTATGTGATGTCTTCAGTAATCAGAGTTTGCTAAGTTATTTTGCTATTCCATATGTTTTATATACTTAATTCATAACTGTATAACTGTAATGCAATGTTTTTCAACCAGTTTTTAATATTGGCATCCCTAACTTGATAATTTTTTTCTTGTGGTGCCTCTTTTTTATTGAAGCAGAATTATTGCACTTTTTGTGTTTTTAGCACTTGCATGCAAGAAGTGTTTGGCCATTGAATGCTTTTTATGGGGCCCGAAGTAGAAAGGGTCTCTTTTGCCATTTTTTCTTTGAACAAATGAAAAATATGTTGAATGTTTATTAATGAAAAATAGTCTTATAGATTTTATTTTTTGTTAGTAAAAATTGATTTATAGGTGTAGGAATTACTACTTGCTCTAAGTTTTTTCCAGATGTGGGGAGGATTTTCAGTTTTTTCCTTTCATCGGCCCTGGAAATCATGGTGCTACTCAGCACTATATTTCATGGCACCCCTAAAATGTCATCATGGCATCTTAGTTTGGCACCGTGGTACTTTGGTTGAAAACCACTGTTGTAATGTTTTTTTATAACTGTAATATAAAACTGGTTAAAAATTTTTCTGTGAAGAAAATTTATTATGTTTGATAATAAGAAAAATAGAGGAAACAAGATTGAAAAGATCAGAAATGTTATAAACACGGTGAAGAAGATCAAGAAACAGGTCAGATTTTGATGTTCTATAGCATATCTGTAATATAACACTTTTTCTATAAGTCACCCTTGTAAAGTGCCAGTGAATACTTGTGAATTAGTCATCTTCATAAATATTAGAGAATCTGCCAGTCTAATAGTCAAGCTTGTTAAGGCCCAACATCGCTAAGAATGGCTAAGAAAAATTTTGACTGTTATCTAAATTGTCAAACTTTTACTTTGCATATTTTTTTTATGTCTTGGATGTTTTTGTTTGGATATCAATTGTTTTTGTTAATAATTATATTATTATGTAAAGACATAAGACGATGATGTACAATTTGATTGGTGGCGACTGATGCTTTCGATATGCTGTTTAGAAAAATTGTTATAAAAAGTTTTAATTGGCATAAATTTGCTCTTTTGTAATTCTGAGTAACATTTTGAATACAATTCATATCTTTCCATGTAATTTTATCTTTATAAGTATAAAATTAAGCTGTAAAATTAAATTAGCTCTATGGGGAAACTCCAGTGAACTTTGAATTATTGATTGGGAAGATTCATCAGCACCTCACTGATAATGAGGAAAGCTTAATTTTAAAATCTGAGCTTTCTTGACCCAATAGTTTTTTTCTCTGAGTGTCTGCAATGCCGGATGAAGAAAAAGAAGAAAATACAGTTTTTTTGGTGAGTTTTGCACTTTTTAATTGCTTACATTTCAGCAACCACATTACAGAAAATCTTGAAATTTTACATCCTACCTAAGAAAACAATTTTTAAAACATGAGATATTCAGAATTACTTCAGGTGTTTGGGCTGGAGAAAACATTCCTGAAAATTAGCAACTCTGATTCCTGTATACATAGTCTGTCAGTGGCTTTTTTTACTTGGTGGGGAGTCACTGCTGTGACTCCTGATATTAACCAATCTCAAATACATGAATACCTTGAATATTTAGTAATTTACCTTACATATTTTTTTAGTTAGTAATTTATTTATTTATTTATTTTGCTTGTTTTTTTTCAATAAATTAACAAAGTAAAACAATAAAAAAGATATAGAAATCTGTTAAAGTCTCTGTTAATTTTAACACTTGCTAGAGAAGGATCATTGATAGTGTGATGTTGCAAAAATTTATGCAGTAATATATTTCTGCATTTATTTCTTTGATTGCAGTAAATGTTGCTTTTATAAATTTGTAACTTTTTATTCCTGTTACTTTTTAAAATAAATTCTTGTTTTTGTAAGTTAATAAATTAAAATATAATTGGTCAGTTGAACTAAACTTTGTAATCCTTTCGCACGTGTAACAACATACCTTATTTGAGATAGCAAATTCAACTGTCATAGTGGGAGAGTGAATGATACTAAATTCAACAGTGAGAAATCCTCATCGTTACATAGCTTTGGTTTTATGAATGAGAAATGATATCGCTTGTAAACCAGCAAATTGACCATTGTAAAGTAATTTTTTTTAATCCACTGGTCTGCCATATATGAAAGTCTGGAACTGAATCAATATACAGGGTCCATTTACAATGTTAATTGTAAATATCACCTGAAATATACATTAAATTGAAAAAGTGCCTGATATGAAAGTTTATTATTTTGGAGGACTTTTTGAACTACATAGAAATTAGGTCACCCCCTTGTGGATGGGGGTGGTAACTTCAGATTTTCCAATGTAACCCCCAGTTTTTAGCACTTGGATTCTTTATTGAAAAATAGTAATATTTTATTCCTAGCAAGTTCTTTGATTACTGTTAATTTAAAAAGTTCTTAGCAATTTTGGTATTTTTGAAAAAATAATGGTTAATTCAGTTTCTAGGAAAACATGCAATTTCATGAAAGTTAAGCATTGTGTTTTTTAAAGATATTTCTGATGTATTAAGTGTTAATCTCAGTAAAAATATGATTTAAGTACAGGAAAAAATATGTTTTTTGCATAACTATCCAGGCCTTAGACTGGCCTGAAGTAATTACTTTGGGTTTACCTCCAACATTGAGAAGCATAATTAAATAAAACTATAGAGTAAATTCTAGTTTATTGACTCTGACATTAAAAGGATATGATAAAATAATTTAAACATAAGTAACATGAAAGATGCATTATCTGTACAGTAATTATTATTAATAATGCTGCTATAATAATAGCAAAATAATATCATTGAAATAATTGTAACATTATTTTGGGATATGCTAATTCTAACTACTTTAAATGTCTGACAGAAATATTTGTGATTAAAATAAACAGTCTACTGTTCTTCAGTTTAGCACCAAACTTTAATATCAATTTCAAAGATCAACAAATATTGTCACTACATTGTTGAGATTTAGCTGTAGTTTTGTTTCTAAATGAACTCTTTTTAGGAGTTGTTACATTTCATCATATTTCAGAATATATATTATTGATTTTTCAGTAAATTATATAGATGTTCTCCTTGAACCTCTATACTTTCAAACTACAAAAATTCAAAGACATGAGAAACCTGTGTACAAGAATTGGAGATACTATTCACAGTGTAATTCTTAATATGTTGGTATGGTCATAGACCAAAAGTATAGACTGTATATCATAAATGCAACATCAGGAACACACATAGAAATGTACTGATTTACCATTATCTACATCAGTGGTTCTTAAACTTTTATGAACTGTTGCCCCCTGAAGATAACAGTTATAACTTGCTCCCTGTATAAAGTATACCCCACAGCCCTGTTCCATTTGAATAAATTTTTAAATTTTTCTTCTGTATAGTATTTATTTCATTTCCACTGCACTTTTTATTTCCAATTTCTTTCATATCATATAATATCATATTACACCCAAAGCAATTTTATTTAATGAAAAAGTTGCTTTTATTCCCAGCCTGCCTGAGGTGATCTCAAAGGGACCATAGCCCCCTTTGAGATGAACTCAGGCAGTACTATATAGATGAGAGCATCTTAAAGGGAGGCGTAGCCTCCATTAACGAGCTCTGGTTACAGTATTGTACTTGCATTTCTTTTTATAAAATATCCACAAAATTAAGGCAGTTTGAGGACAACATCCAGTATATTGATTGATATTGGTTTGCAATGGAACTAGTATTATTTAAAAATTTAGTTTTTCTGTATTAAAAAATAAATGTTGTATTCCCAAATCTCAATTTCTGTTGACATTTTATTAAAGTATATGTTATATTGATTCCAATTTATATTATTTGAATTGATTAATGAAAAGTATGAAATAAATATACTTATAATTTTCTGATAAATTATATATCATCAACAACGTATTTATAGAAATGTATATCAGTTTTAAGGAATTGTAATGCTAAAGTCTCAATTCTGCAGATTTTGTAATTTTGTCGTCTAGGAATTAGTCATTTTATTAAAAATTTTGGCAACAACTGTGTGAAAGTGTACAGAAAATATTTTTTGAGCAGTAACTATTTACAGAAAGTTTTATGAGATTTTATTGAATACTTTGGAAAATATAAAAAAATTATTTTTAGAGAAATTGTTTGTTAAATCTGAAAATATTAAATAAGACTGCACTTAATTGAGGACATAACGTAATTTGTAATTTTCTTTGCTGATAAATGTTATTAGTTTATTAATAAATAGTTTATCTGGTGATGCCAAGAAAAAAGCAATTGACATAATTATAAATGGAACTAATCATCTTAATAGTGAAAAAATTATTTTCCTGACAAACATTTTCAAATACAATATATTTTAAAATTTCTTTGAATAATTTTTCACTGTTAAGGTATTTGTTTATATTTATCTATTAATTTATGCTGTTAAGGAAATAAAGTATAAAATTTATTTCTCTTGCTTCTCAAAAAATTGATTTCTTGATTATTTATTTATTTAATTACTTAATGTAATTTAAAATAATTAATTAGTTTAAATAAATTAATTTAGATTAATTAATTATTTTAATATCAAATCAAATACATAAAGTGTATAGAATGAATGAGAATATTGTTAAATTTGCTTCTGTAGTGCATTACTTTACATGCTTCAATAAGAATTTTGTTTTTTTTTATTTTTAGCACATGGTTCAAACACAGATGACATCATCATATTCTCCTTTCTCACAAAATGGTGATCAGTCACAAACAACAAATCAACAAAGGATAGAGCAAAAAGAATGTATAGCATTTTCTTCACCTGTAGTTACAAACAATGGTGTAGAGCAACAAACTGTAAGTTTTCAATTAAATATTTTAAAAAATTATTATAGTAAGGTTTAATTTTTTAAAATATTAACACTTTGGACATTAAACCTCTTTTTAAAAACTTGTATTTCACTTATTTTGTACTAAACTTCTTTTTTAATTAAAACTGTAAAAAAGTTTCAAGAGTCAATATATATTCTGTTTTCAACATAGTATGATGCATTATTTTGTTATTAATGGTAAAGTAAATTATTGACATCATGAAGTACCTAAAATATTTTTATATCATAATGTAATATAGAAAATAACAAACAAAGCATATTTTACCAAATTATATATATTAAAAATATATTTTGTTAATATTTTTTATTTCAAAGTCTTAAAAATAAAAATACCTAAATAGCATAAATTTATTGATTACATTATTTAAGAATTATCAAATTTTTAATAAGAATGTTAATACATATAAAATTCTATGTAGCTCAATCATTTGTGTTCAAGAGGAAGAGTGAGGGTCAGATACTAATCAGTTAGTATTCATATACTAAATGAATACAATAAATTAAACTTTGACTGATTCTTAATTCTGGGTTGTGAACTTGGACATAAATCATATAGAATATATTGTTTAAAAATAAATTTATTAATATTTTTAACAGATAAGTTCAACAATGTCTTAATAAGTAAATAACATATGGATTTTAATATAATTACTAAATAAAAACACATTTCATATTCAAATAAATTTTATATTGGAACTAGGAAGAAAAAATTTTTCCCAACATAATGCGAATTATTTCTTTTCCTCAGTAGGATATAAAGTTTATTTATTAAATATATAACAGAAATGTAGTCTTTTATGTCTGATAGTAAGACAGACAGAGATTTGCAAGTTTTCAAGTTATCTCTGAAAGTGGCTACACCCTGCTACACCCATCATTACACAAGTGTTGTACATTGCACATAAGTGTTATACATCATTACATTTGGGCATAAGTGTTGTTATATTTGAAAAAAGATGAATAATAAGTGGGCTAGTTCTAACACCTGTTTGTGATGAAGATACAGTGATTGAATATGTTTGGAAAAAAAATCACATGTGCAAATGCATGGTTATAAAGTATTAATGGATATAGTGAGGCAAAATCTAGCACTGTGATATACTTGTTGTCTTTTCTCACCAGAATTATCCTCTACAATAGATAATAGATGATATTCTGATAATATGGAAATAAAAACCAGTCGTCAACAGGATATTAAATGCTTTTAACAATGACCCCTATTTAAGCAGATGGAAAACTGGATAGTCCAAAATAAACCAATAAATTAAAACTTAATAAATTATTAATTCTTAAAATTTTCATATTCACAACTTTGTTATTTTGAATTTGTAATTATACATTTTAAGGAATTTGAGAAACTTGTAACTGAAGAAGATCAGTAAAATCTGATTGAAAACATTTGTATTTCAATAAATGTATAACTGAATTTATTAAGGTTTCGTTTATTAGTTTAATAACCTCTATGGTATATGTTTAAGATTAGAGCAATTCAACAATATGGAGACCCACTTTCTTGATATAAATATTACTCTTCAAAATGGGTATATTGATACACAGGTGTTTTACAAACCAAATCATCATCCATTATTCATACCTTCCCATCCACAAGACGCATTTAAGTATAAAACCATGGTATTCAGAGCTCTAGTCAGAAGAGCATATACACTGATCTGACATCACAAACACCATTAAAGCTTAAATATATAGAAGAAATAGCTAGAATACATAGATATGATAAAAAGTTTATATAAAATTTGGCAAAAGAAATGGAAAACAAATGTATGAAGCATCTACAACTGGATGTCACCAATGAACAATCATGCATGCTAATAACAAGACAAATAATTATAGATTTTGATAATAGACTCAAATCGATTTATAAACAAATCACTAAATATTTAAATGACAGTATGTTTCCATAGAAATGCCACAATCTATGAATTGCTACACAACAGTAGAGATGAGATAGACAACAACAGCGCACTGGGTGTATATTCAATCCTGGTAACAGATGAAAGATTTAATTTCCAACTTATGTACATTGGGTCAACAATTAGATTTTTAAAATGCAGAATCAATGAATACTAATATGACGTAGATGACAACAAACCAAAACTGTTTTAGCTCAATATGCAATAGGGTCAAAGTGTCTGCACATCTAAATGAAGCAAGAATGATAAAAAGATCTATGATGAACATCACTTACAAACCCTTGAAACTTTGGAAATTGTCAAGTCCACATTAAAAAATAATTGTGTTAACCACAAATACTCAGAATTCCTATCTAATGCATGGCAATTGTTCTTTGATAATCCTACAGATTAATTAATTATATATAAAACATGCATAGGCATATAGAATTCCTGTGGCTCACTTTATTTGTATTTTTATTTTATTTTTAATTTTATTATTTATATATTTGATATTTCATTAATATATAATTGTTCAAAAATATATATTTATGTATACACACTTACAATGTTTAAAGAAAAATGTTATACAGTAAATAACATCATTGAATATTTGAAACATTCCAATTTGTAAATTTCAAATTGTATAATTTTCAAACCTAAAGCAGGTTTATAAAATAAACTGAAAATGTTTGTTATAAAAACTCTTGTGCTGAAAAATTATGTAAAGTATTGATTTTTTTTACCAGTATGGTCATATCTTCTAAATTAATTTGTCTGGAAGGGAAGATCAAATGGAAGTCTTGATAACAAAATTGGTAATGCCTCTGCACAGTAAGGAGGAGTTATGGAACTCCTGCTTACTGCATAAAATATGTCCTGATGAATCTGTTCACAAAGTATGTCCTGATGAATATGACTTTATCATTTGATTTGTTTTTTAAATTCTGCTTTGTTTTACACTCCGTTTAAACAAATATTTTCTGCTTATTTAATTTACAGTAGAGGATTGTCCGAATCAATTGGGGACTGGGGTTACTCGGAAAATCAGTATTTCGGATAACTGATTATGTACATTAAAATATATTAATCTATCCCATGTTGAAATTTTTCTCCGTTGCGTGTCGCTTCGCGTTGAATTTTCGTCGATGTTAAGCCTAACGAAGACTATTGTATTGTTAAAAATTATTTTTTTTTTATTTTGTACAAACAAAATAAATATATTGAAGAAAATAAAAACAATAAAAAATTATACTTCAGAAGTTAATTTAATATCAAAAACGTAAAATATTTGAGTAGCCCAAGACATAGCCAAAGATTGCAGTGCCACAGCACTGGCGAAAATTTAAATTTGCTGACTGGAATTCTTTCGGATAATTGACTTTCGGATAATCGATGCTCTACTGTATATCTTTTATGCATTATTAAAAACTAACATTTTCTGTCATATTCATATTCTATATAGAATTAAAATTATAAAAACAATGGAATGTAAGCAAGCAGTAGTACAGAATAAAGTGAAATATTTTATGTTTAACATAAAAAAAAATAAAAAAATTAACATCAAAAATTAAATAATAAATGATCACAGAACATAAAATTCAAAATTATCTTAGGAAAAATCTCCAAGAGTTAGAACTATGTTTGTATTTTTGCAATTATGATCTTATGTTTATAATCTCCAGAGTTTTTGCAAACTTGGCCAAACAGTATATTAAATTATATATAAATTATATATATATTTAATTAGGTATAAAATGAAATAATTTAGAAATTTCAGGATTTACAGCAGAGCATAGTGGAATTGGGAGAAATTTGCTACTCGAACAGATTCAGAAGATCGGGATACAAAACTGACAATATTTTGACTTGAGTGTCTAGGCAGCTACATATTGGCAATATTCAATCTTTTCAAAATTACCTTGACTGTCTGTGAGTGCCTTAAGAAGTAAATAAACTGATCAATTTCATTTATATTCCAGTCAGATGTTGCATTTAGAAGCAGTTTTTTTTTTCATTATGCGAATTGCTTCTTGTCTGTATTTTAATTATCCTAGAAAATGTTCACAAGAATCTTTCTTTATTTAAGGACTTGTTATCTCAAGGAGAAGTAGTGCATAAAAACTAGAGGATGACAATTATTTTTTCAGATATTTATTTTAACACAAATCTGTGACATAAATATTCAGCATTTTTGACTACTACCTCTTTTTAGAAGAAGGTTACAAACACACACTAAAAATTAATTCACAGTTATTTTACAAAAATTACAGAAACATTTTTTAAAATTATTACATATTCATTTGTACCCATGAGATACAATAGTTATTGTGTACATAAGCATGTGAAAAGGCCTGTGTAAATTATTACAACTAATAGAACATAAAACCAATGATCACAACTATTCTAAAAAAATATTTTATAACAATTTTACTTTTTGGTAAAGCTATTAAAAAAGTTATTAAAAACTTTTACCGGAAGTGATGTACCATATTGTTTTTATTCCTTTTTTAATATGAACACTTAAAAGGCACTTAAAAGGCCAAAGTTTTACACAAAAAGTGACTAACCTTTCCATGGCTATTCCTTTGTAAAGCTGGATACTGTTGCGTAATCATTTTGTAGTTTTATTGTTTGTTATTCTCTGCATAACTTTCATTCTTAGAAAACATTTTATGATTTTATGATTAAGATTAGCATTTTCTCATAATTTTTAATTGATAGTTCTGATGAAACATAAGCTGTCCTGTCCATGTCATTAAAACTGTGAATGGAAGTTTTTCTAATCAAATATCTAAATGCAGTTCTCATAATGTTTATTAGAGGGAAGGGAAATTTTATTTTTTGAAAAAGGTCTTAAAATTTGAATATTAACAAGAGCTGCAGAATATGTAAATAAATGTAAATGAAAAATATTTTTTAGATATTCAACTGTCTGTAGGTAATGATGTATTTTTAAGGTGTGAACATAACTGTGGTTTCACAGTTATGTTCACACCTTAAAGTTATAAGTGGTATTATAAATATGGTGGTCAGTTTTAAAAAAAATATATTTGGAATAAGATGTGATTAAGTAAAAGTATAAAGAACTTTTTAAATGAAATAATTACAATAATCCTTTGTAAGGGTGCAGCAGAGTGACATAATATAGTATACAATGACATAGTAGTGTATAGAGTGACATAGTAGGCAACATAAATTCTCATTACCAACTTTTTCTACTATGCTGTAATTGTATTTTTTCCATTTTATCATAGGTTTTATCATATTTATTTTTTTGCATTTTCATTTTCTGATCTTTTTTTATATATTTGATTATTATAATAGAAATTTGCAGTCTACTATCTATTGGCCATAAGCTTTTAAAACATCTGTATAGTTTAAATGTCATCTTATCAGTCAAGACTTTCTATATAACAAGAGAATGAATATTTGAGAACTATAGATTCCTGATCTATTAAAAGAAATTTTTAGAATATGTTCTTATTAGTATCTTGCTGTTTTTGTTGTTATATCATAGGTTTGATTTCATCTGAAGATCAGTGACATCTGATTAAATTCAAATGTTATTTACTCAGACTACTTTTATACTAGTATACTTGTTTTGCTTAGTGATGCCACTCTGTCTCTCTTCATTTTCACTTTGAAAAATTTTATGCTTATGACAGTATGCTTATGCTGTGCATGTTGGATTAAATAACTTTGCTTTAAAGATAAAGAAATTACTATTTTAATTTTAATTGATTATATTTATTTTTATTTAATTTTAATTTTGTTTGCCAATTTTCCATCCGTTCAATAATGCTTAGAACATTCTTAGCTCCTGGGTGAAGCTAAGAACATTCTAAGCCACTCTTAGTGTGCATTACTGAACACAGCCCTGATCTTGATTTTTATCTAACTCCATTCTTGAAATTAAGGAAGGACAGACAGAAAGAAAACAGTAGGAATCTGTGAGTGTGCAATTTGAAAATTGTATCTCAATAATACTTGTTCTTTTTAAGTGAAAAACATGATATGAAACATTTGGTAGATTTAACCACACATTGCTGAGATTTTACAACTGAAATGAAAAATATTGCATCATTTGCTTATTGTTCTAACTTGATATCATTAGAGTTTTATTTGTTATGGCAAAGAATATTTCGGGTAAAAGATTAGTATTTCTTAAGATCATAGAAAATATGACATCCTGCTGTAATGTTAATTAAAAAATATATGATTGTATTAGCAAAACTTTTATGCTTTTATCAAAATACATATTTAAGTAAATTTTAAGCTATATTTGCAGTGTTCTCCCCAAGCTGATTTTAGCTAGTCAGTTGACCAGCACAGTAATTCTTCCAATCAGTTTAAAAATATGTTATTGTATTTATCATAACCACGTTTTCAAGTTAACCAGATTATGATGTAGTATGCTATTGGGTACTGTAGTGTGAATAGTCTATTGTTATTATACTGATGTATAATAATAATTTCAGTAGCAACTAGTTAAAATTGTAGGTCAATCACATTAATTTTTTTCTTGGGGAAAACATTGTATTTTGTTTTATGTATATATATAATATTTTGTTTTCATTTTACATATGTAATATTTTAAATTTTATAAATTTTTCTTAGCAAACAGATTTAGAACCAGAAGTAACATCAGGCACACAAGGACAAGCGTCTACTCAAACAAGCACAGAATCTTCAAAAAATAATCAACCAAAGAGATTGCATGTTAGCAATATTCCTTTTCGTTTCAGAGATCCTGATTTACGTCAACTTTTTGGGGTAATGTTTAATTTTGAAATATTTTTTATTGTGTGTTTAATGTGCATTGTAATTTTTTAGAAATATATTATATGTTATTTTATATATACAGAGAAAGAACTATAAGTTTCTGATCTAACCTCCTGCACATGACTGAAAAACATGCCAAAACAAATATATTAAAGATTAATGTCTTATTAGTATTTGATGCAAATTTAGTTGGCTATAGTACTACAAGGTAATTTATATTAGACTTGATATGGCAGAAAATTTTAAACTGGTGTATTGAGCAGTCTTGAAGGTGCTTACAAAAGAAGGCCAAACATCCATGGAAATCAAGAAATGCCTAGATCATGTGTATGAAGCTTTGCCATCATATACTACTGTCAAAAATGGGCTAAACATTTTAATTAAGACAAGAATTCCTTGAAGATAATGCAAAATTTGGTCATCTAGTAGATGTGGTAACATGGGATAAAATTGGTATGGTGGTTCTTTTGAATTGTTGGTTGAAAGTGAAAGAAATAGCAGCAATAACCAATATATACGATATGAGTATTTGGCATATATTTCATGAGCATCTAAGCATGAGCAAAGTTAGCAGAAGATAGGTTTATTAACTTTTTTCTTCTGTCCATCATCAGCAGCATGTAGAAAGTGCATGGTCGAATTTGGACCTTTATGAAGCAGGTGGAGCTGATTTTTTTAAAACTATTGTTATAGAGGATGAAAATATGGTTCTTTATTATGACCTCTTTTCCAAAATAGAATCGATAGATTAGTGAAGACTATGGGAAGAAGCCACCCCAAAAAAGGCTGAAGTGGCACCATCAACCAAGAAAATTATGGCTACTGTGTTTTGGAACTGTGAGGCATATTAATGGTGGATTTTAAAGAAAGAAATACTACTGTAAATGCAAAATATTATTCAATGTTATTACATCAGTTGCATGCAAAGATACGTGAGAAATGTTGAGGAAAATTAACAAGAAGAGTGCAATCTTGCATGACTTCATACTGCAGCACTTACTCAAGCTGCCATTTGGGACTGTGGTTTTGAGCAGCTCAATCACCTGCCTTACAGCCCAGATCTGGCCCTGTTAGAATATTTTTTGTTTCTAAAGTTAAAAAAAGCTCTTTGAGGAAAACATTTTGTCAATGATGAGGAACTGCAGACAGTAGTAATGGACCATTTTAAACAAAAATTTTCATAATATTTTTATAAAGGGATTGGATTGCTTTTTAAACACTGTCATAGGTGTGTAGAAATCAAGGGTGATTATATTGAAAAATAATCATTCTTTTTTCCTTCCTTGTCTATTCTCATTAGGTTGGGAACTTATGATTCATCCTAAATATATGTAAAATAAAGTGTGACACCAGAAAAACAGAATTTTTAATTAATATTATAAACAGTAAACAAATGTACCGGGAACCTGTTGCCAGTGTGCTTCTTGGAAAAATACAGAGCATTACGAACATTTTCGAACTTGAAAGTTTTCTTCAGTAACTGACGACTGTTAAGTGAATCCAATTCAAATTATATCACGTGGATCGATGATGTCATTCACGCATACGTCCCTCTGCCGGTTGTAAATTATCGTAAATTTTTGTCTATGAGCATGATGTGTGAATGATGTCATCGGTCCATGTGATATAATTCTGAATGGTATTCCAATTTGACTTGAATTTGAATTGCATTTGCTTAACAGTTATCAGTTACCTGAAGAAGAACTTTCAAGTTCGAAAACATTCATAATGCTCTGTATTTTTCCCGAGAAGCTCACCGCCAGCATGTTCCCAGTATGTTTGTTTATTGTTTACTTTAACCCAGTGTAGTATAATAACGATTTGACTAATATTATAAATTTTAAAAAACAAACTTGGCCAACAAAGCATAATGAAAACAAATTGTAATCTGAAGCTGGCCTCTGAAAGAGACCAAAAACATTTGGGGTAATAAAAAAAAATACTTATTGCTGGAAGTGTGAGAAAGATGCAGTTATATTAAAATAAACCAAATTAACTTTAAGAATAGAATAACACACAAGTCTCTTTGCTCATAGATCATTTCATAAAGATGATTTTCTGAATTATTTTGAAATTAAAATTTTTATTTTTGCTTTAATTTTCAAGTAGCAAAGGATTTTATAATTATAGGTTATACAAGGAGAAATTAAAAAGTAACATCTTTAAATTTTTATGCACAGGATTGACTTAATTTGAAATAAGTGAATATAGGTGTACACCAGCTTCATAACCTAGTGTACACCTGTATTATATATTCTATTCCTACCATGATCCAATTTAGCAATTCCCATCGATATGACACTTCATCTGTTCCAAGTGTTGCCAAGTGTTGCCATCTGGTTTTTGCATTGTGTCCTTAGGTATCTGGGCAAAGACCAAAAATGTCTGGATTTTAAGAAAATTTGGCAAATTGTCAATAATTATTTATTTTTTAATGTTATAGCTGATTTTATAACCAACGAACAGAAACAGTGTGATAAGTTTAGTTAGCATTTATAATAACATTCTAGAGTAGATACTTGAGATACTTCAGATACTTGAGCCTTGAGGACATTGTTTATTTAGGGGCAGTTTTTTTAATAAAGCCTAATTTAATCTTAGCTGTTCTGTCTTTTCAGAAATGCTTGAGCAAGTAGAAAATATTTTGTGGTACTTTGGTATCTCTGATAGATTTTAAAATTGAGAGCCATCAAACATTATCAAATGCATCTTTGATATGTAGAAATATTAACAGAGACATCAGTCTCTTTTTTCCTTGCTGTAGAGTATAACACAATTTAACAAGGAGACATCTGAGAAACACTGGGGTGTAAAACCATATTGGTCATTGCTCAAAAACTTTTTATGAGGTGAAACTTTCTTTAAATAAAAAAAAATTGTGGGAAATGGCAATTTACAACACATAATGAGGTATGCTTGTATACAAAATGAAGTATGCTTAGTAGTTTACTTCTCCACAAAGGAACCATACTGGTTGGTTCAAGCACTTGTCCTAGTATGTGACAAGGTTAAACATTCTGGGCCTATAGAATGTGTTTCTTATGAACAAAGCCAGTTTTGAACAGTTGCTTTGAAGCTGTTTGATCCCTAGTGATGATGCTTTTGATGAATTAGTCCTCTTCTCAATGATATTGTTCCAAATGTTTCAAACATTGTAATGTAATCATGTTATCATCATGATGGTGGTTTATGTTCTTTTTTGTTGCATCAGCCCAGCAAGCACTTTCTGTAACCAAGTTTTCTATGCTATACCAAAGGAAATGCCAAACAGGACATGATCTTCAGGTAAATAAAAGGTTTTATTTGTGATATCTCTTCATGCAGCAACTTTTTCCAGTTTAATGGATGCCCAGAACAAGGCTCATGAATTGGCAACCTTGTGCAAACATTTTGCATTATCTATGGATGTTGGAGATGTTTAGCCAATATCTACCATTTCACAAGAATGTCTGATGATTTCTTACCCATCTACATAGAAAACAAATTGCATCCTTCTGCTCCTCAACTGTGGACAGCCTCAGTATGGATGTCATTTTTGTCTTTTTTTTTTTGTCTTTTTCATTTTGACATGTATGCTAAAATATCAGCAGCTGTTTAAAGGCGTAATAGTAAATAGCCAGAATACTCTTGCTTCAGGCCATTCATTTCTGTCAAATAAGAATACCTACAAATTATTATTAATAAAGAGGCATTACTTTTGATTTGCCTTGTAGNGTAATCTGTATATACTGTGGGAATAATTATATAAACTGTATTCATTAAATATTTTATTATTTTTGTGTTTATAGTTTTTTGAGATGAAAATAATTTCTTTTCCGGACGATAAAAAGGGCGGTAAATATGATTCCTTTATGGTGAGGTTCTATTTCGCCTTTAAAATTAACTTTCTTATTTTTTTTAAAGTAATTATTTAGTTGCAATATTTATATTCCATAAATTTTTATCCCAAGTATCAGTCTCACAATCAACTCAATTCATTTTAAAATACATTTTGTTTTATAAGCATAGGGGCTGTCCATAAATTACGTAACACAGATATGGCTATGCAGATAATTGTTACGATGAGTTAGAAGGGGTTGGTGTTTACATAAATGTTACGTAATACTAGGATCTTGACCCTTGGGTATCAGAATGGTTCCGTTTTGTTTCCAGAGTTGCAAAGCGAACCATACTGTTTATGTCACTGTTTTGTATTTAATTAATTAAATAACGTAACGTTCAGTATCCCGTGTTGTGTGTTATTCCTTAGTACAATTAAAAGGGTAGATATAAGATATGCATTACGTAGTTTTTGGAATGGATATTTGCAACGCGTTATGAAGCGTTTGGGGATAGGACAGTAATTGAAAAGTAAAAAAATAGCGTTACATAATTGATAAATGATTCCATATACTGATTTCTAAAGAAATACAATTCCCATTGAAACAAAGAATTTATTACAGACTCGTGTATATTTAGCGGCGTGCCTACTATTACTTATTTATTATATTATGGTATCGTTTACCTATTATTTATAAAATTTGCCAACTTAAAATATAGATTCATTATTTATTAATTAACTCTAATTTATATAAATGCTTTTAGTAATTTCTAAAATGTAATTTTTAATTTCTTACAAGAAATTATTCAATTGATTAAATTCAAGAAGTTAATGAAACGACGTCTTGATAAAACCTGTATAAAATTGAATACCATGTCAATTTATTTAATTCCTAAATTAATGAATGATTTTGATTTCATTTCATATTTCTGTAACATTTAAATGAATATGTTACCTATTTCATTGTATTATATTTAAATTGTGTTATGCTTTAAATGCAGAGAAATATGAAGATAATATGAAAATGTATAAATAAAATGCCAATGTATAATTTAACCAAGTTTTTTCTACCGGGCAATTTTAACCTTAAGAAAAGTTATAGATGATATTGCATATCTTAAAAATTGCAGGTTTAGAATATGACAAAAATAGACTAAGCCTAACCGATATC